ATTTGATTAGGAAAAATCATTTTAAAAAATTGTTTGTATCGTTGTGACGATTAGGCAAAGCAAGCAGAGTGGTGGTTCCGGTAGATTCCAAGGTCAACGAGGCGATAACTGTCGGTGCGCACGACGGGTTATCTTTCTTAGATCGACACGTCGAGAACGAGTGGAGAACGAGTCGAGAACGAGTCGAGAACGCGTCGAGAGGATGGACAGCGTTTATTATGCGGGTGTTATGCGCGTGTACACAGTGAGGCGGAGTTGGAAATCAATAACCCGTGTTATAAGGTATTTGGCCATGCCGAGGATATCGATTATGTAGCATGCTCGACGCACACAAAACCTGTTTCAAGATTGTAATAAAAATGTGTAAGTCAGATTTTAAAGTAGAAATTTTAAAAAAAAGACATCTATAATTCTACTCGTAATCAAAAAAATTTGTGTTCATTTTATTAATCCATCTGTTTTGAATAAGTGTTATTTCCATATTATGCATATTGAGAACGATATGCAAAGAAATTAGAAAATAATGGAATAACTAAATAAATTGAATATTCGAAGAATAGACTAGATGTTTAGTTTAAGAAGACAACAATTAATGAATAGCAAAATGATCCAATATTTACATGCGTCTCGCTCAGCAAGAATGTTAACTGATCATTGACTAAATAAAAGAGAAAAGAAAAATCAATTACGTGTTTTATGTGTATTTTGTTAAAGAAATGAATATGAATGTTCGGCAAGAAGAATTTGAAACGGTCTTTGTTTGATAATTTACCATGGTTTCACAATTACGAAGGCGATAGAATAATGATAAAGCTCGAAGAAGTGTATTGCGCGTGTTCCTCGCGATGGAAACAGCCTTGTGTCTCCACTTTCCATTACGTCATGGAAGGATGAGACCTTCACCGTGTCTTGCGACATTTCCAATTCTGTTTTTTTTTTATATCAACAATATTCCCATCTAATTCCGCTATTACACAAGGTATGCTTATTAAAAAAATAATAAAATTGACAAATTATTATATTAATTGGATATTTCTATCGATATATTTGAACTAAAGATACAATAAGCCAATTTTGTTGCATATTAACCGATAAGACGATAAATAAAATATGACTTCGGAATGAGAAGATGTAATTCAAGTCGGTTCGTAATCGAACGCGATCGGTCATGATTACCATTAATTACGAATAATAAATTGCGAGGTCGTTCACGATCGTCGTGCCGCAATCGATACGCGTCTCGCGAGAGTTCAACACGTAAACACTCGTCAATTTGAAACCGTGCTCGCTTCGAATACGACCGATAAGTTCAACATTCGACTTATCTATTTCATGAAAAAAAAAAAGCAGAGATATAAAAATGAAATTACCTGCGCGAACTAAAAACATGAAATAACTGATAATCGACATCAAAAAAATTTCAAGGAATCTGAATTGAAAAATATTTCTTTCTCATTGACGTCTCTATCGTCAAGGATTCAACCTTGAATCGTTAAAATCAGAAATTTCCTGTTATATCTCAACCAATGAAACGCAACGATTTTCATGTGAAATTAAATCGTTATATAAAAAGATATAACGTCGAACGATAAAAATAGAATACACGCATATATATATATATATAATATGCATATGGCTATAATAGTTTTCTTTCTAAAGTAATTGTAATTTTTTATAAATACAGGAGAAGAACTTCTTTCTAAGAAAGAGAAATATCGAAGGCCATTGGGTACAAGCACGAGTTTGCTTTTACGCAAATCGATTTCAATGTCATCGACATTCTTAATATGGACGTGTCCATTTCGTATTCTCATAGGAAAAAGATTCGGACAAAAGACTCTCGAACGCGCCGAATTCAGAGCCTTGGGAAAGGTCAGCGTTCGGAG